CACATTAAACTAAACCAAATTCCTAAACTACCACACTTATAAAAAAAATTCCCAAAATACCTAAGTTTGGAGTGGTTCGAGTTTGAGGAACTCGAACTACTAACCGGTTCGAGTGTAGAAGACTCGATCTACACGTAAATCGATGATATAAGCCTCGAACCATGTGGGGCTGAAGTGGTTCGAGTTCAGTGAACTCGAACCACTACTTTGAAATTTCCAATCACCATAACTTTGTCCTCGGTTATCCGATCGTAGCAAACTTTTTTTTCATTTCGCATAACTTTTCGAGGACTACAACTTTTATAATAGAAATATTTTCAGAATATATGTGAAAATGTGAAAATTAAAGTTAAAGTTACTCCCAAAACCCCTTATATTAAAAACTATTCCTATTTTGAAAATTTATTCCTAGTAAATGTTGTAGTACTCAAAAAATTATGCAAAATAAAAAAAAACTTTGCGACGTTTGGATTGCGGAGCACAAAGTTATGATCCTCCAAAGTTTGACAAATTTGAAAATTTGCTCGTTTAATTTATGGGTAGCAAATGACGTTTTCTAAGATAGCCATCCAAAAATGTCTTGTTTGTAAAAATATTGCTCTTTTGGCAGAAATTTCCTATATATAAAAAAATTTCCCGTGCCTTCGCCCCGAGAAAATGTCATTTGTTACCCCTAAACGAGCAATTTTTCGATTTTGCCAAACTTTAGAGGATCATAACTTTGTGCTCCGTAATCCAAACGTTGCAATGTTTTTTTTTATTTTGCATAATTTTTTGAGTACTACAACATTTACTAGGAATAAATTTTCAAAATAGGAATAGTTTCTAATATAAGGGGTTTTGCGAGTAACTTTAACTTTAATTTTCACATTTTCACATATATTCTGAAAATATTTCTATTATAAAAGTTGTAGTCCTCGAAAAGTTATGCGAAATGAAAAAAAAGTTTGCTACGATCGGATAACCGAGGACAAAGTTATGGTGATTGGAAATTTCAAAGTAGTGGTTCGAGTTCACTGAACTCGAACCACTTCAGCCCCACATGGTTCGAGGCTTATATCATCGATTTACGTGTAGATCGAGTCTTCTACACTCGAACCGGTTAGTAGTTCGAGTTCCTCAAACTCGAACCACTCCAAACTTAGGTATTTTGGGAATTTTTTTTATAAGTGTGGTAGTTTAGGAATTTGGTTTAGTTTAATGTGTATTTAGGGAATTAATCCGTGAAAGTTAGGCGCCCACATCATCTAACTATACGCTTGCTCAAATTTTCCAGTCAAGGAATAATATTGCATGTGGAATGCTCCTATTTATCAAGTCAGGACCGAGGCGCCTAGATATCAAATTTATACAACATGCAACAACGCCTAGCAAGAATCAAACTCTCGACCCAATGCTTGAAAAAGCAAAGTGAAAGTGGAAGCTGTCAGACACATGGATTGAACCTTGCGTCCAGCGCCAACTTCAAGTCAAGCACCTTCACCAACGCCTCAACAAACATTCGAACTTGCGCCTCTAATTTCTTGATCGAGATTTGTCGCCTCCAGCCACATCTTATGTTACAAGAGAGGAAATAGGTACATGTCATTAATGGGAGCAAAATTCTGTACTTCCCGCCAAGAAACAAGCTAAGTACCCTCTCCTCTTTAGTTATTGCATAATATTCCAAAGTGCTAGGTCATGATTTGAACTACTTCGTTATTAGGAAATCTATGACAACATGCTATACTCGTCTACATGCCGCTTATATCTTTCGTGATGCATATAACTCTTATGTTGCCATCAAAACACTAGAAACATCTGCATGATATTTGAGATACTCTCGACGCCCAAAAATATAGTGTTTCGTGGTTGGTAATACTCTCCGCGTCCAATTATAGCGCCCTCGATGGAAATACTCTCCGCTCCCAAATGCAGCGCCTTTAATTGAAAATACTCTCCGCGCCCAACTTTAGCTCCCTTGATAAAAATACTCTCCGCGCCCAAATATAGCGCCTTTGATTGGAAATACTCTGCACGTCCTACTATAGCGCCCTCGAATAGAAATACGGTTCACGCCCAAGTATAGCGCTTGTGGTGGGGAAAACTCTATGCGCCTATAATACTTAAAGTGCCTGTTGATGGAAATAATTGTTGCTCCAAGATCTAGTGCCTGAAGTATATCGTTCATTATAGAAAGCGTAGAGCATGTTATGCTTGCGAGTTCTATAAGTGATACTCCAATCATTTATGGGAACACGCATACTAGGGCGCTTAATATATGTGAGCAGTGTGATCTTTTGGGTAGTTCGTGAGTAGACAGATTGTGGTGCATGCCCTTTTATCATTCCACCTTTCATCCTATAAGCATTGAGAGTGAAGTGGCGTAATAGACAGAAAAGTAAATGGGGTTAGAAGCAATACAAATTTAGAAGGGAAAAATAAAAGTAACATGTTTATGTTTCTTTTGCTTTGCTTTCAAAAGCGCAGGCGCCCATTTAAATTTGGACAAGAAGATGGTACTCAAGGAGTCGCCCATCACACATTGAATGCCCTCAACGACTCGAACTAGGCGTATAAAAAAAAAGGCGCCAAGTAGCTCAAGCTCAAAAGCTCCAACTCGCAAGACCCACGATGAGAACCACACTCGTTAAGTCACCTAGAGGTGGCCGAAGTCCACGATGGGGAGGGTAAGTCCCAGCCCTCCCAAGCATCTAGATAATTAATAGCCCGGGCGTCAACGATTCAAATATGACCATGTGTCTTGTTCACATACCAAAACACAAGCGCTGGAATTGAGATTCAAGCTTAGTGCCCTGTGGAAATCATGATGCATTGTCGATAGGCTGCACTGCAATTTTATAACATATGAGGGAACACGCCCTTATTCCTTGTGCATTATCTTGGCGACATACACGTACGAGGAAGTTACATCAAGATATACTATTTGAGTTATCTTCCTAACCAATGCATGAGTCAAATTTTAGTACACTATTTCATATTTGCAAGATTATTTTCGTTATTTAATTAAGGCGACATTGGAGGAAAAATTACCAAAAGATCGTATATCAAATTTGGCAAGTCGGTAAATTTAGTTAGTCGCCCAGTGCACCACTAGGTGCCTAACTGGGGGATAATTGGGGATAACATGCGCATGCATATTCAGGATTGTTACAAGGCAAACAAATCTCCAATTAGGTGTCGTAAACGCCATAACCTTGTTAGATGCCAGAACTGCAGTAATTAATTTCTGAGGCAAATAAATCTCTAGTTAAGCAACTAAAAAGCCATAGGATTGTTAGACGTAAGAAGGGCACTACATTTTTGCCACTATTTGAGTTAATTCTCAATCATGTTATGAGTCACATCATGTTTCATTGCGCATTCTCTGCATAGTGCTTGTTTTGACGTGTTCCACTAACATGAGTTTGGGGACATGAGTTAACATAACGGGGGGACAAGATGACGCCTGTGTGCCGCATGCCAGAAGCATAATCTTAGAAAATTTGACATGTTAAAGACTTCCAGTTAGGCATCCAGTATACTTCTGAATGCCTAACTGGGGGACAATTGTTAGGCTTATAAAATATGTAAGACAAACAAATTTGCAGTTAGGCGTCTAAAATGTCGTAATATTATATTGGTAGACTTGAGAAGTGCAATAAGTGATTTTTATCACTACTTGAGTTATATCTCTAATCATCTATGAGTCATATAATGTTATATTGCTCACTCTTTTCATAGTTTTCGTTGTAAGTTATTCGATTAGCACAATGTTGGGGGACACGAGTTAACTAGCCAGAGTACAAAGGGGTGCCTTCAAGTCGCCAAAGGCAAAATACAAAAGATGTGACAACTTGAAGAATTTTAGTTAGGCATTCAGTATACTACTGAATACCTAACTGGGGGACAATTGTTGGACCCGTAAATATGACACAGCCAAACTCGAACAACAATGGTGATCTACAAGTGTGTATGGGCCCAAGCCCACAAAACATCACAAGGACCCAATGGAATCCCAATGAAGTGTGATAAGGTTTGACCTATAAATATGCTCTTAGGTCTTCCAAGTAAGGCTCTCTCATTCTCTTCCCTCATTTTTTACATATCACTTATCTCCCTACAATCTCTCTCTACCTAAGCTCTCCCTATTTCCCTATCACTATCTAATGTTGATCGTCGGAGTGTAGATAATGGGGGCCATCCCCATCCTTTTCACATATCCGAAGCTCCCTTGTTTCTTGGCCGAACCGATTTTCCGAATTCCGAACCGATTTTCCGAATTACTATAATTGCAAGTTCCAAATGGTGGATTTTTATGTTTGTACTTATTATGAGACTTAAATATTTGAATTATGTTAGTGTTTTATGACTTATGTGTTGAAATGTTTGATTTTATCATTGATGATGCATTTAATTGCATATTTATTGTTTACATTAGGGGTGAAAAATAATTTAGAAGAGAAAAATACAAGCTAACCTCACAAGTTCGGTTTTTCATACATAACCGAACCGAATTATAATTCGGTTTGGACCAACCAAACCGAATTATAATTCGGTTTGAGGTTTGATGGAACTCGGAAACCCGTTATACATTATTTTGGTTCGGTTTGAACCGAACCGACCGAATGCCCACCCCTAGATCATATCACTATGTGCCCCCAGTTTGTTCCACCACGAATCATAAACAGACTGGTAGCTAAGAGAGTATCCAATCGTGGAAGCGGGTCGACTCACAACAAGCAAACGCTCATATGGCTCTACTATCTCTGCAAATCTGATCATGCCCTGATACAAGGTACGCCTCATGCTCATATCAGACCATAAGGAGTCCAAACAACCTGTTGTGGGGTCAAAAAGTCAATCGTCTTACGATAATAAGCCAGCATGAGTGTATCCTTCTTATTTGTCGACTGAGGTGAGATACCGCACCACTTCAGTGCCCCTGCCTCCCCCTGCTCCAGCTTTCGTGGCTCCAATCGACTAGGCCTCAAGATAGGAAAGTGGTCATAAATCCAACACTATAGTAAAGTCAGACAACCCGCCACTTCCTTAGCCTCCGCCCGCGAGGCAATACCAAGCTGCCTGTACAGATAAGCAAGTGCTCCAGCCCCCACCGCATACTCTCTCAGCATCTCCGGCCTCGTCACAAACAAGTTGATAACAGAAGACACGCGGTACTTACTCGTATCTGCGAATAGTGTGGACCCTAGAAGTAGAAGAAGTGAACACTGAGCCTCTCTAGCTGGCGAACCAAACTCCTGCAAATGAGCCAAAGCTGCCAACATGCGGCCCCTGGCCCAAATCAACACGATCCACGCCCAATAGTGCTCGCTTGTCATCCTCCAGTGACATCTTCTTCAACTGCCTCGGATTCACTGCCATTGCCTCTCCCTCAACTGAAATGCCAAGGATGTGCACCACGTCGTGAAAAAGGATCGTCATCTCTCCAAACAACATGTGGAAGGTGTTGGTATCCGGCTGCCACCTCTCCACAAATGCCTATATGAGAGCAGTTTCCAGCTTGCTTTGAAAGCTGATATCTGCGAGGTGAGCAAGGCCCGATGACACTACGGTACCCCTAGTGAGAGAACCTGCGATCTCGTAACTCTGTAGAACGTGCTGAAGTGTCAAACTCATATCGTAGCAAGTGATCACCCCTCTACCAGCCTGCCCTATGTAAAGACGGTGGGTAACATGCCCAAGAAAGCTACGGAGCAAACTCGGGTTGCTGGGCCCTCCAGTGCACGATCCTCTAAGTTCCCACCCCGCTCCCACATCAGCATTACCACTCTGACCCTCACCGGGCTGTGGAGCTCTGTAGAAACGGCCCGCATGGTCTCTATAAATCCCAGTAACGGCGTTTGATGATCCGCTGGCGGCACCTCTATCTCTGATCGGACCATCTTGTGGAATGTGATCCTCAACAACATCCGAATCATACTGCTCAGACTTGTCGTCAATCTCGTCTGAAGGCTCCGAGTGTGAACTGTGTTGATCCCTTGACTCGCTAAAACACAACTCCTAACAATGGCCAAGTGTAACCAATGAAAGGGACTGCAGTATAGTGGCTCAAGTAATAAATATCGAATCCACGGGTCTCTAGAGTTACTATTACTCAGCTTCAGTTCGTTATCTAGCAAAACAGATTAAGTTGAAAGAACTAAAACTACTCTAGCAAACTACAGTTAAAGTTAATCTAATTACAGGTTGGGAACTCACTTAGGTATGATTCCCCCTAGCCACTAGCCAGATTAACGATCGATGATCTCTAACTTGTTTCACTTTCATTCACAATGCGGAGAATCCTTGACTAGACCTTGAGTCTCGACTAAAGGAACAAGGCCCTCTTGAGTCAATTGCCTAGAGGGACGTATCCTTCTCTAGAACAATCGATCAAGGCGTTCTGAACTAGACTCCCTCTATCGAATGAGGTTCTCAATCGATACAAAGCAGTGAATCAACCCTCGACTAAAGCAATCGATCCACTACTATCAATCTATGGTGCTCTATTGACCTAATCAGGTATTCGCTCTCATAGGATCAAAGCAGAATCAATAATCTCGACTAAAGCAGAATTGAATCGTGAAAACATGCATAGATTGAATATGAACTCAAGATTATCAAGTCAGAGTACTCATACAATCATCCAATCAAACAAACATGGCTAGGGTTCCTCAAAACCTAAGTGAAGGGAAGTTACTCCATAGAGAAGAGAGAGACTGCAGTAAGAATCTTCAGATGATCAGTCTTCAAGTCCGGGCTTGATTCCCGAGCTCCAATGGCGAAGAAATCCTCCAAAATAGCTCCAAGAATGTTCCCAAGTCGCTCTCTCTCTCTAGGGTTCGTCCCTTGGGTGTTTGGGATCCAAAACCCAGCTCTCCCCCTCTCCTTTCGCTGAAAATCGGGTTTTAAACAACAATTCCCGACCCGCACGGCCAGGGTGCACGGCCGTGCACATCACCATTCTGGCCGTGCACCTCAAAACGCGGCGTATCAATTAGTTGAACCTCAGCCAACTCGCACGGCCAGAATTGTATGTTGCACGGCCGTGCGTGGCCACGCACAATCCCGTGCGTGCCCACGCACAATCCCGCACGGCCAGAATTGTATGTTGCACGGCCGTGCGGATTTCACTTGTGCCCGTGCGTGCCCACGCACAATCCCGCACGGCCAGAATTGTATGTTGCACGGCCGTGCGGATTTCACTTATGCCCGTGCGTGCCCACGCACAATCCCGTGCGTGCCCACGCGACTTCCTTGGAACCTTGCCTTGCATCCGATCCTCGTCCAATCGACCCCAAACTCGCTCCCAAGCCTCCATTCACGTACTAGGACCTGAAATATCACAAACAAGCACAACCTAGCGTGAAATCGGCCTAAAACACGAGAATCAACACCTCAAACGGAGTAAGAGCAGGGGTAAAAACATGTGTAAATAACGGTCTATCATCCCTCGTCCCAAAGGTGTGACTGGAACGATCTCCACTAGCAACCATACTAGGCAACTGAAAATCAAACTCAGGAAAGCCAATTGCCCTCAATCTCATCGGGTGCTATAGCTGATGTTGTTGTGGCTCATGCTCAGGCTTTGACTGCTCCCCCGACCTATATCCACGCTTTGACTTCTTATTTCTTATACTCATACTAATGTTTTTTTAGGGAAGTACTCATACTAATGTTACGCACAAAGAATCTACTCAATTTCTTTCCTGATCCTCCAGCATCACCAGTTGACGCCATCTCTAAACATAGTAAATAATTATATATTAATCTCTTATAATAAATTAATTTTTGAGCAATTTGTTCACAATTTTTTTTATCATAGACTAACTATGATACATACAACTTATTAACCAATTAATTTAGCTAGATAGTTATTTTACTAAATACGATAGATAGTTATTTAACTAATTATTTCAACTTACTCAATTACTTAACTAAAATAGGATAGATAATTATTTTAAGTACATTAATTAACTAACAATTATTTAGACTTTATTTAATTCAATATGATAGATAATTATTTAACTAACACATTATATAATTAACAATTATATACTTATTATTCAACTAACAATTATATACTAAGTATTCAACTTACAATTATATACTAATTAATATACTTACAAATGAATTTAAAATAAATATAATAAATATTTTCTTAATTAAACCGAACCAGTCAAGACCTAGTCCGACCAGGCCCAGCGGACGGGGTCCGACCAGGCGAGGTGGACAGCGTCCGAGTATCGGGCCAGGTCCGACGCCGGCAAGGAGACAGAGAAAAAAAGTAAAAAATTACCTTTCGACGGTGGCGACGACTGCTACAGCGGCGAGAGGGAGCTCGAGTGGATTGGATCTCGAGTGGTCGGTATCGGCTGTGGTATGTGGCTAGCGGCGGAGGTTGCAAGGTGGCTGGCGGCGGCTGTGGCTGGTGGAGGTCGAGGCTGGCCGGCCGGAGGGAGCAGCGGCGGTTGGAGGTTTTTGGATAGAAGGGAAGGGAGGTGAGGGATTGGGTTGGATTGGATTGGGGGTAGATAGGTTTAGGGTTTAAATTAGAGCAGGGGCAAATTCGTCATTTTTTGTAACTATAAACGGCAAATAGTAAAACTACGGGGCAAATAGCTATTCGTTTTTTCTATTGTCCAATGGACTAATTTTAATTTATTTATCAGATATTCACAACAATAGAAAAGTTTTGAGTATGTTTGTGTTGGTTTGTTGCATGCATGTGCACTCTTTTTCTTTTATCCTCCTCCCTGCAAATTCCGTCCAATCTTATTAACATGTTTCCCAATTATAAAAGAAAAAAGAAAGAGCTTTTTTTTGTTTGTTGGGATCCCCATTATTGTTTTGTTTTTCCATCTCTTCGTTTCTTCTCCTCCAATTAAAACAAGGGAGGGGAAAACGAACCCAAAAAGGTTCCCCTGCTTCCGTTTTCATTTTCTGGCCTCTGTTTTTCAATTTGGCCGGAAACCCCGATGCTAATCAGATTCTTCTGAGATTTTGCTTTCCTTCCTTCCTGACTGAGTTTATTTATGGCTTCCTTTGTTCTTCATGGAGGTAATAATCCAATAGAAAAGAAGAAGATAAAAACATGGAAGTCTGTTTTTTGTATTTCTGTTTTTCCCTTGTTTCTAACTTTAGCCTCTGCCGTTTTTTATGGCGCAGGCCTATAATCTAGGATGTGGCAGAGCTTGGAATCGGAAATGGGATGTCGGAATCAAGCTCCAGGAATCTAAGGTTTTGGTCTTCTCGGAACAATTACTAATGGAGATGATCAAAGATGCAGACTTTGATCTGGGTTTTCTCCAGAAAGGCTGAGCTTGTAAATGTTTGCTAGAAGATATCTATATCTATATAGAAACAGAGTAAAACCAAAACCCAGAAAGCAAAAGGGTTTTTCTTTTTTATCAGTATGGATGAAACTCCGACGAGCTCGCCGGCTGTGACGATGCAGCACACGCCGGCGCGAAGGAAGAAGATTGCGAAGCAGCTGACGGGGAAGAAAGGAGACACTTCGCTGCATTCCGCGGCAAGGAGCGGGAACATGGCCGCCGTAGTGGAAATCCTATCCGGGAGCGACGAGGAGGAATTGAGGGAGGTTTTGGGGGTTCAGAACCAGTCCGGCGAGACCCCCCTCTACGTGGCGGCGGAGTACGGGTACGTTGACCTGGTCAGGGAGATGATCCAGTACTGCGACGTCGCCGACGCTGGAATCAAGGCCAAGAATGGATTGGACGCCTTCCACATTGCCGCCAAGCAATCGGATATAGGTAAATTGCCAATGATGTTCATTTCTCTTATGTCTAGTTTTCAGCAGGGAATATGCAAATCAATGTTGTTCATGCCCCCCTACATTCTTTCCCCCTAGATGTTTTGAGGGTGCTGATGGAGGCTCATCCAGAGCTAGCAATGACAGTAGATCTGTCAAACACGACGGCGTTGCACACGGCGGCGATGCAAGGCCACATCGAGATAGTCAACTTTCTTCTGGAAGCAGGGAGCAGCATAGCCACCATTGCCAGGAGCAACGGCAAGACAGCCCTGCATTCCGCTGCCAGAAACGGACACGTCGCGGTGGTAAGGGCACTGGTTTCGGCGGAGCCAGCGATCGCAACGAGGACGGACAAAAAGGGCCAGACGGCGCTTCACATGGCCGTCAAAGGCCAGAACGTTGTCGTCGTGGAGGAGCTGATCAAGGCTTCACCTGAGATTTTGAACTTGCTCGACAACAAAGGAAACACTCCTTTGCATATTGCTAGCCGAAAAGGCAGAGCACCGGTAAAAAAGAAAAGAAAAGAAAACTCATTTGGTACTCTTTGCGAAATTCTGATTTCAGTTCCTGAATTCATTTTTTACCTGCAGATAGTGAAATTGTTGCTCCAACACAATGAATTGGACACGAAAGCGGTGAACAGAATGGCGGAGACGGCGCTCGACACGGCGGAGAAGATGGGTCAAGACGAGGTGAAAGCCATACTCGAAGAACACGGCGTCGAGAGCGCAAAAAACCTCAACCCGCAGAACCGAAACCCGGCCCGAGAACTGAAACAGACGGTGAGCGACATCAAGCACGAGGTTCACTACCAGCTCGAGCACACGCGACAAACCCGAAAGCGGGTTCAGGGGATCGCGAAGCGACTGAACAAAATGCACGCCGAGGGCCTCAACAACGCCATCAACTCCACCACCGTCGTCGCGGTCCTGATCGCCACTGTGGCCTTCGCCGCGATCTTCACCGTCCCAGGCCAGTACGCGAGTGACCCGACCCAGATGCTCCCCGGACAGACCCCGGGCGAGGCCAACATTGCACATCAGGTATTAGAGTATAGGCAGTACGAAGTAAGTAATTTCCGTATTACTATTAGAGCTATATGCAGTTTCCACCGAATTCTGATTTCTCCAACAACAGGCACCCTTCATGGTGTTCTTCCTCTTCGACTCTGTCGCGCTGTTCATATCGCTGGCGGTGGTGGTGGTGCAGACGTCCGTGGTGGTGATCGAGAGCAAGGCGAAGAAGCGGATGATGGCGGTGATCAACAAGCTGATGTGGATCGCCTGCGTCCTGATCTCGGTGGCGTTCCTTGCGCTGTCGTTCGTGGTGGTCGGCGAGAGCGAGATGTGGCTGGCGGTTACCGTGGCGATCATTGGGACGGTGATAATGGCGACAACACTCGGCACGATGTGCTATTGGGTGATTAAGCACCGGATTGAGCTGTCCAATCTGAGAAGCATTCGCCGAAATTCTATGAACAGTCGGTCTCTATCGTTTTCGGCTTCGTATATGTCGGATTCCGAGCTGCTTAATAACGAGTTCAAAAACATGTATGCCATTTAGAATTTGCTCATCTTTTTTTACTTACACTTCTTGTATACTTTTGTCACCAAACAAAGCGTAGAAATATCGATGTAACCGCTAACCGGCCGATTGGAGCAATCTTCAGCATTATAAACGATGACTTGTTCGTTTGATCGATTCATTTGCAGTATAAAATGTATCAACTCGCGTGGCCCATTCTACAAACACCAAAAATGGGACTACATAGGTTTTGTATAGTTATTGGTTGTTGGTGGTATAATCGTTTTGTATAGTTATTGGTATTATATTGTACTAGAGAATTGACCCGCACTTCGTCGCGGTACGAAACTAATTAAATTTAATATTTCATTCACTCATATAATGATTTAGTTGAAATATAATAATTCATAAAATAGTTGTGTATAATATCTTAGTTATTGCAGAATACATAGATTATACATTTCTTTAATTGATACATTAGAAATAACTACTTTGTTATAATTTTTACGCAATGTATTTGAAATTTATGTAATTCCTATAAACCGGTATTACGTAAATCTTTCTTAATGTGTGATCTAATAATAAAATCAAGTTACAACAGGTAAATGTTACATTTGATTAAACTATTATGTAAAACCAAATTATCTTACAAAATTTTTGCGTAATGCAAACAAATGGGATGGTAAATATTGTAGGTATTAATAAAATAATTTTATTTAATAATAAGTGAATTAAGTTATGAAAAGTATCTTATTTGATTAAATTGTCATGTAAAACTATTGAACATACAGAACCTTTGTGTAATGTAAATATATGAGATGACGAACAATTGAGTTAAAATTTAGGAATTTTCTCTCAAACTTATATTAGGAAATACTTACATATTTATTTATGGTACATAAGAAATTATTTTTCCTCCATAATTCTGAGTTGTGTCTTAGTCATCATGGAAGACCTATGTAATACATTATGTTTAATACATATGGAATAACTTCTCCTCTGTAACCTTTACGTAATGTATTTGTAATTTATTGTTATATTATAGTGTTACATAAATATTTCGTAATGTGAGGCCTAATAATAAAATCAAGTATCACATTCGATTAAACTGTTATTTAAAAGTTAACTTTTGCATTAGGAATGTTCAAATCAAGGCATCCGATGGTAACTGTTTGTAGCTAGCATAGTTAGGTTAGTTGGTCTGGTTTGGAGTTAAGACAAATCAACCATTTTTTTTTAAGACCTAACTTGGCATCTTATCCGTGCTTAAAGAAGAATATTACAGTGATGAGAAGAAGAAAAAGAAGAATATTACACACAAATTATTCACAATTTTTTTAAAATATAGTCCATTTAAAATTGTGTCAAAATTACAAAAATCATGAATTATTTCTTTAAAACACGGGACAAAAGAACCATGTGTATAATACATCATATAATTGTTAATATCATTATAAACAAATTATAAACGAAATAATAGAGAGGCAGAGGCATGGTAAAAATTGAAAACAAATGCAGGGTGTGATGCAAACCCTCTATCTCTCCACCACTTTACATTGAACTTGAATCATAAACCACTACGCCATGTCCTGCTTATAGTCCAAACATATCATGTTCCACCCATTTGTGTAATTAGAATAATTAAATGCTTTTATTTAACTATGAAAGAATCCATTTTAACACCTTCCTTTTATAAGAATTTTAGAAACTAATTCGCTTTCCCAAGTTTCCACCATGATGATCATGACTTCCGTCTCATTGATATCCAAATTGTCTAATGACATCTCAATTGTAGGCCACGTGCCTTCCTTCACGACAGGTGGAAAAATAGCAATGCCACGTAGCCCCATTACTTCTCCTCCCTTCTCCATCCTTCTCCATGTTTAATCTTATTGAGTGCTGCTCGACCATTCTCCCGCTCTTATACTTTTTGAGGGAAGGGAATTCTATCTCATTCGCAGAGGAGAGAAGATAATAGGTGAGCCCCTTCCATCTCAATGTTGAAGGCAGATAGTAGCTAGGTGAGTAATTCCCTCCCATCTCAATCATGAATGCATATCCACGGAGTGGGTTAGAAAACTATTTGCATGCGATATCAAAATCAGAGTTCTTCTCTGGCTAAAGATATATGGAGTTTTGAAAGAAGGGTATCTCGATGGCAATCAAAATCAGAGTTCTTTTCTCGCTAAAGGAGATATGGAGTTTTGGAAGAAGGGTATCTCGATGGAAATTTCACGATTTGTTTGGTCTATATGATGAATGGATTGGGAAGGAGGAAGAAAGTTACGGACTTGAAGGGCTGGAAATTATAAACGATCGATGAAGAAAGGCAGAGATTGTAGAAGATATGTTTACTTGGCCAGCCCTACGTATGGACATCACTTTTATACAACCCTCTGTATAAAGAGAATTGAACAATTAAAATTGAGACGCTCGGACAGCCGTCAAGGGCCGTGCATTCGATAAAATACACACGGCCGCAGAGAATTAATAAATAAGGATTTGTGAACAGTAATCTCGACCAAAAAAGGTAATCCCGCTTTTATCGTATGCAACAGTGAAAAGTTGTGGAAAAACTCGCGTCTTAATAATTCTAATTGCTTAAATGTGATAACTGAATTATCGTTTCAGGTCATCGGTTATCAATAAATTAAACGATTTATATAGGTTTGTATTTTTATTATTACTAGCTTATAACCCGGCCTGTTGGCCGGAATGTTAATATTTGATAATTTATAATTTTATGTTAAGTTTAAGTCTATCAACCCGTTGAATTTTTTTTTTACAATCTTTCGATAGAGATGATACATAAGGAAATAATATATAGGTCGAACACTCGAAGAAATACTATCATCATTTAAGAATATAAAATATAAAAATGTATCATTGATTTCATTTTCATAATGATAATATTATATTGGTTAGTTGATAAAGATAGAATATAAAAGCTCAATGGATTACCACACGACCTATATATAGTTTGAAACTGAATCTAAAACCTCACAATCTTACATAAAGGCTTCAAAATGTTCTCCTTTTAGGAACAACATGCCACTAATAAAAAAGAAATAGAGAGTTCTTGGTTCAAGTCAACTATATACTACAAACTAAGCTAAAAGGGAACCATCAAAACTTGAGAGCAAACGACAAAATTAGGGTTACCTCCAATATACTAATAGACTTGATCAAAGTCATAAGACACAAAATTAGACACTCATTTTCTATCAGTTTCGGTAGGTTGAATAAAGAATCGACCTAATTCAGTAAATCAATCAATGATTTCTCGTTTTAAGATAGAAATAGGTTGTGGTAGCTGCAAAAATCATAAACCTAAAGAGCCAAAGCCAACACTCTCCACTGAACGACCAAATTTTTATCCACTATGTCTTTAATCTCAAGAGGCATATGTTTCAACCAAACAACTCCATTTCTGCTACTTTGATGGACCTTCTCTCCGTGACCCTCAATTTCTCTTCCAATTGGGTTCTTGTCAACTCGCTCTTCAACTCCTCAATCTTCTTCTTGTGTTTGCCAACTCATCTTCCTCGGGGGAGTTGTAATAAGTTTGCTAAAACCAACACTCATCTCCAATTCCATCAATATGTTCATCTCCCCCTTGTCTGCCTTCACCCGCTTCAGTCCACTTTCATGCCCTTCAATAACCTCTCCATTTTCATTACTTTATTCATCATCTCTCATTTCTTTCTCTTTAACTCCTCCAGTTTCGCTTCCATGTCTTTCAACACCCTCCTCAATTCATTCACTACCCTCTCCAACTCCTTCTTCTCTGCCTTCACCTGCTGCAGTGGAACTTTACCTGCTACCAAATCCAAACAAAATTTCTTTCCTCCACCACTTTCATTCTCAAACTCAATTCCAACTCTTCTACTCCAAGTTCAAATTCATAACTACTTGATTGAACTCCATTCTATTCGTCATGGATTGATATCGGATTTGAAATTTTCTATTTGCCCACTTTAAATCCCCAAAATAAAACTGTTGTGCCAAGAGAAACCGGAAGATTAATTTTCAAATGCGCCCTTGTACTGGGAAGTGAAAGAGCCAAATTATTGCACGATGGAGGGACTTTCGGAGTAAGTTATAAAGAGATAATAACAAAGATAAAAAAAAGCACAAAATTTAAATTTAAATTGAAAAATGCAATGACACAACACGTAGTAAAAGAAATAGTTTCTTCCATGTTAGCCAATTACAAATTTACCTAAACGGAAAATTAAGGAGAGCATGAATTTTAAAATGGATAAAATTACATGAAATTCTACTATGAAAATTGAAGTATTAAGCACCATAAAAATATATACGGTAGACTTAGTGGGCTTGTTGATCATGATGTAAGAGTCATTCACTTTCCAGAGTTTAACTTTGTGTATGTTTTGTATTCAAATAATAACAACAAATTTGTTTAATGAAATTAGTTATGATCGTTGTCTTTGTTTGAAGATACCAGGTTCAAATCTTGATATTGATATTTTTTATTTGAAATAAATAATTAATGGAGGACAAGCATATATGCGAACAGGCTGGAGTAATCATAGTCGCAGCAGTCTTTCAATCCGTATACATTTCTAGCATATAACATGTTTTTTTCTTTTTATGGAATCATATAACATGTTTTAAGTATGTCGTTTAAGTGAAGTTGTAATTATACAGTGTTTAGTTTGTAATAACTAATGACATCTGTTACGTGGTTATCTGGATTTGTATTTCTAGTTAAGTTGGAGAGCAATTACATAATAGAAACAAAGCAAACCCTGAACTTTGACTTTGAAGATCTTGCATTCCGCAATTTCTTCCAAGAGTTTCAACGTACACCATTCTGTGATACTAACTTAATTATCGTTTTGATCTCGATGATAGCAAAAAGGGACAATCATAGACCACAGATTTACCATAGTGACTTGAAAATTTTATGAAGACGATAATACCAATTTATAGATCACATATAATCTATCTATCTATATCTATATCTTCTATATCTATATTTATATCTATCTATCTATTTATACTCTATATTATGACAACTCAAAAGCAATCTCGTGCCACATAAACACTTGGAGCATAGGTGGAGCCAAGGCCAATTGAATGTGTCCCGGGACACATGCAACTTTTGGGTAAAATAAAAGGGTTAATACCCTAGTTTAGCCCGAAGTTTAGCTTTAGTGACAGTTCTGGTAGGGATGGCAATGGGTCGGGTTTTGCCAAACCCAAACCCAAACCCATGGGTTTATCCGTAAAAAAAACCCGGGGTAAAACCCACTGGGTTTGAAAAACTCAAACCCAACCATACCCGTTGGGTATCCGTGGGTTCATGGGTACCCACGGGTTTTTGTCGTAAAAAATTTACAATAACAAGTTCCTATCAAAATTAAAGTCAAATATCAATCTCTCAATACAAATTATCCATATATAAAACACCATTCTAGAAAATTCAAGCAAATCACAAAATTAACTATACAAATTGTTCAACACCAATATAGAAAACTCAATAAAATTGAGGCAAATCATAAATTGTCCATAAATAACATGATTAATTGAAAGCATTAAGTTTCTTCACTCTCCACTCGATGACATCAACTTCATTCTACACAATTAGAAAGAAAAAATTAGACATGTCTCCACAAACACAAATAAGATTAGTTGTTTAGAATATTAGATATACCGAGAAAATTAACTATATGGGTGTGGGCGGGTACCCATGGGTCGGGTTTACCTAAACCCAAACCCAACCCAATGAATAGTAAACGGATTTAAACCCAAATCCGACCCAAAACCCGTCGACATGGATTTTACCCGCGTTGACCGGGTTGGGTCGGGTGGGTACCCGTAGGTTTGGGTTTTGTTGCCATCCCTAAGTTCTGGCCCCATTTTTCAAATAAGACATTTGTGGCCTACTTTTGAAATTATTGGACAAATTTGGTCCGAGAGACGGTTTGACTGTCAGAATTAATGGTCAACTATTTTCCCATTCACTGACTCAACATTTGCCACTGACTGGGCTTGTCCACATCATTTACAAATTAAATAAAATAAAACAAATAATAATAACAAATGAAAAAACTGAATTACAAAGAAGGGGTCACGTGGACCACTAGCTCTTCCCCTTTTATTCACTCCATCGTTTCTCCTTCCCCCAGCCGTTCCCGAGCGGCCAACGATTCTTCCGCCTCTCCTTCTTCTTTGCCAACTCCAATCATCACCGCCCTCCCCTTGGGGTCAACCGCCAAGTACAAACCAGGAACTATCCTCCTGCATCTGGACTTACCAAACGTCTCCGGGTGAACTTTATCAAACACACTCTTCTCCTTGTTGTATTCCAAAATCACAATCCTCCCGGAATCAGAACCAGCCACGATATAATCCTTCTGAGATCTAGTAAAGCCTGAACTAAGCCAAGGAGTGAATAGCACCGAATATTTCGACGAAAAGAATGGTTTGGAGCCTACCAGTGTCGTCGGGACGGAGGAGATCGAGAAGCTTTCCCGCGCAATGACGATCTCGTGAAACTTCCTGAAGGATAAGCTTCCGTTCATGGCGGCCAGCACACCAATGGGTCGCTGAGGTGTTATTTGGTGGGCAAGTGGAAGAAAATGGGAGGGGTGGGTGTTGATTTAGGGAAATGATAAAGATGGTCCTAAAAAACAACAAAGTTATATTTTTAACCTTTTAATATTTTTACCTTTCTTTTAGTAAACAAACACCACCTTCACTTAGAAAGCAAAAAACACTCATTTTTCCACACTCTCTAATTCATCATCGACATTTGGAAGTCGAAATCGTCGAGCATACGTCCGAACAATGAGTAGCGACCCCGACGAGGTAAAATTCTCGTTTTTTTTAACCCAAAAATTCTCAACCGAAGGTAATTTTTCGGTTGGTCCATGGTTCAACCGAAAATCGGATTCGGTTGAACCATGGACCAACCAAAAATCACATTCGGTTAAGCCATGGACGAACCGAAAATCTGCTTCGTTTGGGCCATGGTTGAAACGAAATTTGGTTTCGGTTGATCCACGGTAGAACCGAACCCTTCCTTTGGTTAAGCCATGGTGAAACCGAAATTTGGCTTCGGTTTAGCCATGGTGGAACCGAAAATTGGCTTCTGTTGGTGGATTTTGGGTTTCTTTAAGTTGATATCAAATATTTCTTCTTTTTTTTGTTATGATTTATAGTTTGGTCTATAAGATAGTTTGTTGAATTTTAGTTTATATTATTCTTAAAATTTATGAGCCTAATTATTTGTGAAATTGAATGCTTTTGTATACAAAATTAAGATTAGATGTATAATACGCAATAAAAAAAATTTAGAATATGATTAATATGATTCTTACATTAGATGTATAGTATGTAAATAATAGAGAATGCTAAATTTTGTCATGTTAAATGTTGGATTTTGCTTAGGAGTATATAGAGAATGCTAAATTATTTGTGATAATTGTTAAATTAAATGTACTCGTTAGATTTTCTATTATTGTGGAGTCCTACTTATATCATGAGATCTAACATTGTAGGATATTGATGATTACGGAGGGGATGACAAAGATTACACCTCAGAATTAGTCAATGGAGTAAAATACGATACAGATTTGATTGCATATGCAGCAGCTACTGAGATTGCCAAGGGTTT